GGATGGATGGAGGGAGGGAGGGAGGGAGGGAGGGAGGGAAGGAGGGAAGGAGGGAGGGAGAAAGGGAGAGACAGACAGAGGGATGAATAGAGGAGCAGGAGGGGCGAGTGGGGAGGGGAGGGGGGGAACGCACCGAGGGATAGACAAGAGGGAGGATGGACAGGAGATGGATGGACATGGATTGAATCGATCGAATCGATCGATTGACGAATGATCGATTGCTGAATTGATTGATTGAATCAAATTTGGTTGAATCTATGGATCGTTGAATAAATTAGAATCCATCAAATGATCAAACAGATTTGGTTGAACTGAATGATTGAATCAAGCTACTAATTGATTGATCAACCAATCAAATTGATGAATCCATTGAATTACCTATGGATTGAATCAAATGTTGTTCGATTGACGATGATTGATACATGAATCAATGAATGAAATCAATCAATCAACTAATCAATCAATCAACTAATCAACCAATCAACCAATCAATCAATCAACCAACCAATCAATCAACCAATCAACCAATCAACCAATCAATCAATCAATCAATCAATCAATCAATCAATCAAATTGATCAAATTGATGGATTGATAAGTCCATGAATGAATTGGTTGACTGAATCATCAATCGAAATTTCATCGAATGGATCAATGTCATCAGACCAATCAATCTATTGAGCAACCGTTGATTGAAAGATTGATGGATGAATGGATTAGCCGGTTTGTTACGATCCTGGCCAATCCGAATTGCAAATTCACAAGAAATTACAATACCATCCAATTGCCAAAGAAATGAATGACTTTGAGAGAAGAGAGAGGGAAAGCAGAAGAAGAAGAGGAAAGAAAGAAGAAGAATAAGATGTACACCAGCAAAGACCAATGATAATTCCCCCTTCTTCGCCAACCAACTCCTCCTCCTTATCTCCTCCTCTCTCGTTCAAACAATAAATAATAGTAATAATGATGAATGGCTGAACCAGAATCAATGTTTGAATCCCTCTTCTCCTGCCAGCACAACAAGAGGTTTACCTCCTCTCTCTTCTTCATCCAGGCCTAGGCTATGGTGGACTACTAAGGGCCTTGCCCTGCCATTAAAAAGACAACGTAAAGCAACTATGGCCTCTTCCCCTCAGGCCGCGATGCCTGGCTCTGCCTCGAAGCTTCTTGATGAAGCGCTACCCCAACTGGGGCCTTCCAGATGCGGCGCCTACCAAGGTGATGAAGATGGCGTCCACCATAGCCAGGTAAGTACCCCTGGCGCTCCCTCCTCCTAGTCCCCGCCTTCCTCCTCCTCCTACCCGAGCTCCTCCACCATAGCCAAGGTGGAGAGCTGGGCGTTCCTCTCCCCCACAGCGCTGCACACCAGCACTCCTGGAGGCGCTCCAGCAGCATGATGCCCAAACTTGCACGCAAAAAATGAGGAGGAACACTTCGCTCCTCCAGGAGAAATAGCAGCCAACCTGCCTCTTGGGTGGTGACTTCCAGGCCGCGTGGCCTCCAAGCAACCGGTACCTCCTCCCTTTCGGAGGCAAACATCATTGCAAGCTCTGATATCGTCCACACTGCCTACCACCACTGGGCCTCTAAAAATGCTAACTTTTTGTCTTCTTCTGCTCCGCCTACCGCTACTCAAGTACCTACGGGCCTACACTACCGCTACTGGAGTGTGCCCTAAGCTCTACCCCTTCGGCCACTTGAGTGTTTTTCACCGCTGCAACCCCAAAGTCACGGCCACACACTCAGGCCAACAGGCACGCAGACCAGCGAACACGCACACACACAGACTTAGAAAACTCAGCAAAAAGCGGGAATCTCAGCAAGGCATTCATTCCAGCGGCAAAACCCAGAAATCAGCCCGTGTTTTGGCAGGCCCTTACAGGTTAATTAATCAATCAATCAATCAATCAAGCGATCAATCATTTGAATCGGTTTGTTATTGTTTCTCATTGTCAGCTGGTGTCCAACTTTCTCTGGTTAGCCAATTCACGGTAGGTTGTATAAATTTCCCCTGGTGATCTTGTGTGCTTTCTGGTTGCTGATATGTGAACTGATTGTAGGTCGGATTGATGCGCTGCTTGAGGGGGCTGAAATGGTATGGTGCGGAGGACTCTGCAGACTCATTCTTTCCTCGATGTTTTGATCTGAAAGATGCAAGCGATGTCACCGAATTTCGGCGGGAGTTCATGTGGTGTGCTGCTTCGAGTGTTCTCAAGCGTGTGCTTTCAGGTAAGATGATGGGGTTCTATGTTTTTCTCTCGATTGGAGAAAATGTTCGTTGAACTTCAATCTCAATTGGAAGAAGCTTGGGAAGAATGAAGAAAAGGATCTCCATGAAATTTTGACAAAATGCAAGGAAAGGGGAATGAGATGGAGCCAAGTAGGACAAAACAGAGTGCTTTGAAGGTAAAACTGATGTCATCTTTCATCGGGTCTCATCCAAGTCATCCTTCCATCTTTTTCTCTTCTTTTTTTTCAAGGCAGGGTGGGAAAGGGGGAAGAATGGAATTGAAAAGAGAAAGAATGAGTATTCATTGGGGGGGGGGAGGGGGGTAGCGGAACACAAACAAAGAAAAAGAACCTTCATCTCCATTCATGCAGAGCTCCATTGGCTGTTTCGCACCACACATTAGAAAAGCCCTTTTTAAAGTTTTTTTTTTTTCGTTTTCTTTCTGAAGTGATCATGGCTCCATACATTACAAAGAGCAGAAAAAGAATTAAAGAAAATGTTATTTAGAAGTTGAGATTGGTTAATTTCATCGTTTGTCAGGAAATGGATCACAAAAAGGCAGCAACTGCATGACAAAGAGAAGCCATCAGGCCATATGGTATTTTTGAAAGGGCATTTAAACCTTGTTTCCCCCGTTCTCCCTGTCCATTCGATGTGCAATAAACGCCGTTCAACATCCGCACAAGTCAAGGCCAGGGTCGTAACTTTTGGTCAAAGGCCAGAAAGAGGGGTCAAAAGTCACATCCTGAGTCCCTGTAAGGTCTCAGAAAAGTCCCTAGGGTCAAGGGGTACGAGGCCCTGAGTCGAAAGGTGCCTCCAGTACCCCCACGCCAGACAGTTGACACTTGGAAAATCAAGAGTCAGACCCACCACGGGAAAAGAAGGCCCAAAGTCAAAGTCTTCCAGTAGTCACCCACGGCCGTAGATCAGATGCATATCAAAGGTTGTCTGCAGTTTTCCGAAAGATTCCAGCACCCACTGGGCCACGACACATCTGGGTCAACAGTGCATCCAGGCCATCAACTTCAGGAAAATCTGGGCCATAGATGCAGTCAAGTGGGAAGCTGGTCAATGCCAGCCAACGCTATAAGAAGAAGGCCAGGCGCAGGGGAGACTCATTCTGCCGTGCATTCACTCGTGGTCAAGTTGCTGCTCACGAGGTGGTGAAGAGGAAGCTGGCACCAGTTGCTGAATGAGAGCGCCAGCCAGGACGGAGGTGCTGGTGGGGCGGCCTAGCCGCCATAGCTGTAGCGGAAGTAGTGGACGAGGAGGAGGATCAGGTCTGTGAGACTGAGAGGAGGATCATGAGTGGGAAGCTTACCTGAACTTACCTGGCGCTGATGTGATTGGAGTTGCCGCTGGTCTCCACAAGGTTGAGGAAGAACAGCGCCCACCTCCATAGCCGAGGCTATGGTACGAGGTTGGGGGCCATGCTGGAATCGGCATAGAGACTTTGTCAGTGATCGTCAGAGAGTTTGATGAGGTGGCGTAAGAGGGGAGACCCGAAGGAGAAGTGGGAGTGGAGAGCCAACATACTTGCATTATTGACATACTTGCGGCGCATCCCGTGCGCGGGGTTGCGGCACATGCGGCGCAGAGCGCACGCGCACGTGATGCGGCGCAGGTGATGCGGCGCATCCCCGAAATAGGGGTCAGTAAAAAAATTCGGGAAGGGCAGGGTGTGATGACTAAACACGCCCCCTCCCTTCTAAAAATTCGAGTGCAAACAAAAAAAAATTGAGGCCACGTTAAGCCTAAAAACTGTGTGTGCATGTTCTATTTTTCAATCTCTTTTCCGAAGGACCCTTGCAGAAAATTGGCAAGAGCTCATCATGAAGCAGAGATGGTTGTTGAGTATGAGTAAGGCGTGGGCAGGCTGAATATATGCTCTGGATTTGAATTCAGGTCTGTGGAGCAGTTATGGGTTACTAACTTCGCTAGGCCAGATCTTTGCACGCGATTCTCTTTTTTTTGTTTTTCTTTTCTTAGGAATAGGTGGAGTGGCCCTAAATCTCGGTCCACTACTTCATGCACAAAAGACAAAACATATGGCGGTGTATGGTTCCATGTTCTAGCGGAATATTCATTCTAATTTTGCACATTCAGTGAGAAGCTCTGAGAATCACGTGCAGAGCCCAACAGGGCCTGGCTAAGTTAGCAACCCATAACTGCTCAAACATAGACCTGAATT